CTTAATTTCATGATGAGTGTTGTCATTGTTTTAAAGTTCAAATTGTAAATTTTTTTTAATACTTTAATTAATGTAGAAAAAAAATCAAAAAATCAAAATCAAACGTTGATTGCTGTATATAGATACATTTATTTAAATGTTACATTAAAATATATAATGGAGCAATGGGAACTGTGCCAGTTCAACGACCATACCCAAGGCTGATGATTCCATTCACATATTTTTTTCATTTTTTTTTTTTTTTTTTTTTTATTAATCAGAAAATTTTATTATTATTATTATTATTATTATTATTGGTTTTAATAATTTAAAAAATAATAATAATTAATTAATAAATAATAATGCGGTCTTTGAGAAACAAGAAAAAAAATAAAAAAATTAATTGTAAAATAAAATTTATTGTAACCATAATTGAAATAATTTTTTTTTTTTAAATTTTTTATTTGGTTTTGCGGATAATAAGAGAAAAACACAAAAGAAAAAAAAAAAGGTTTTTGAAACAACATTTGCGCTTGTTTTTTTTTTTTTTTTAAAAATTGTTTTATAAAAAAAAAAAAAATGTAAACAAATCCAACAACATTGCTAAACAATTTTTTACGTACGAGAATTCATTCGTCATTCTTTTGTTTTACTTTGCATTGAAAAATGAATTAAAAATTTTTTAAATGATTTTTTTTATATAATAATTTTTTTCCGAACAGGTATTTTTTTTTTTTTTTTACTATTTTCATTCTTTGAAAAGAGTAACAATTAATTGATATTTAATTGAGAAGCACACCTAGAGAAAAAAATGTATTCGAAATATGGTTTGGACTAAAAGGTTATTAAAAGCTTTTTTTTTTGAAATTTCATTGTAATTTTTTTTTACCATAAAAGATATGTATAAGTAACACTTCAAAGCTATGAATGAAATGAAATTGATGTTAAAAACATGTAAATAAATTTTTTTTTTTTTTTCGTCGAATCATTTATGCCAGGAAACGCAAGAACGTTTGGAATTGAAATCCAGTTAATCATATTAACAAGAAAAGAAAAAAAAAAGTTTTTAAAACAATGATTTCGAATGAAAAGAATTGTTTGAAAAGTCTGTCGAAAAACGTGCGTCGTCTCTTTCTAACTTATTTACATCGGTATTTATTTATTTCGTCTGTTATGTATGTGTTTTATCGTTTAAACATTAAAAGAAATTATATAATTTTTTCGTTTCTGTCAGTTTTTTTCTTTTTATTTTATCTCGTTGAGAGTTTTTTTGTTTTTTTCTGATGTACTTTTGCCACGGTTAACGCGTTTCAGATATTAGAAATTTAAAAAAAAAAAAAAACAATTTTAAACATCATAAAAGCT